GTTGATTCATCAGCTATTGTTGACGTTGGTGCAACAGTGTTTGTGGAATCCAAAGTTGTTGTTGCATCAGTAGTTGTAGTGGTGTCAGACAGAGTTGTTGTTTCTGCATTAGTTGTTGTCGACATTTGTGCCACAGATGAACCTGTTGAAAGTGTGGTTGTGGTAGCTAAAGTTGTTGTTGTTCAGTTGTTGACATTGGTGCTATAGTTGAGGATTTTGGAGGGGTGGTTGTGGAAGCAAAAATTGTTGTATCAGTAGTTGTTTTGATGTCAGACAAAGTTGTGATTGATGCATCAGTGGTTGACAATAGAGGGGTGGTTGTGGAATCCAAAGTTGTTGTTGCATCAGTAGTAGTTGTGGTGTCAGGCAGAGTTGTGGTTGATTTGTCGGCTTTTGTTAACGTTGGTGCTACAGTCGAAGATGTGGGAGGGGTGGTTGTGGAAGTCAAAATTGTAGCATCAGTAGTTTTTGTGGTGTCAGACAGAGTTCTGGTTGCTGCATCAGTTGTTGAAATTGGTGCAATACTTGAGGATATTAAAACAGTGTTTGTCAGAGCCAAAGCTGTAGTTGTATCAATAGTTTTTGTGGTGTCAGGTATAGTTGTGGTTCCTGCATCAGTTGTTGACATTGGTGCTATAGTTGAGGATTTTAGAGGGGTGGTTGTGGAAGCAAAAATTGTTTCATCAGTTGTTGTTTTGGTGTCAGACAGAGTTGTAGTTGCTGCATCAGATATTGTTGCCGCTAGTGCCACAGTTGAGCGTGTTGGAAAGGTGGATGTGGTAGCCAAAAATGTTGTAGCATCAGTAGTTGTTGTGGTGTCAGGCAGAGCTGTGGTTGCTGAATCAGCTGTTGACATTGGTGCTATAGTTGAGGATTTTGGAGGGGTCGCTGTAGAAGCCAAACTTGTTGCATCAGTAGTTGTAGTGGTGTCAGACAGAGTTGTAGTTGCTGCATCAGTTGTTGACATTTGTGCTGTAGTTGAGGATTATGGAGGGGTCGCTGTAGAAGCCAAACTTGTTGCATCAGTAGTTGTAGTGGTGTCAGACAGAGTTGTAGTTGCTGCATCAGTTGTTGACATTTGTGCTGTAGTTGAGGATTATGGAGGGGTCGCTGTAGAAGCCAAACTTGTTGCATCAGTAGTTGTAGTGGTGTCAGACAGAGTTGTAGTTGCTGCATCAGTTGTTGACATTTGTGCTGTAGTTGAGGATTATGGAGGGGTCGCTGTAGAAGCCAAACTTGTTGCATCAGTAGTTGTAGTGGTGTCAGACAGAGTTGTAGTTGCTGCATCAGTTGTTGACATTTGTGCTGTAGTTGAGGATTATGGAGGGGTCGCTGTAGAAGCCAAACTTGTTGCATCAGTAGTTGTAGTGGTGTCAGACAGAGTTGTAGTTGCTGCATCAGTTGTTGACGTTGGTGCTATAGTTGAGGATTTTGGAGGTGTGGTTGAGGAAGTCAAAATTGTTGCATCAGTACTTGTTGTGGTGTCAGACAGAGTTATGGTTGAGGCATCAGTGCTTGACATTAGAGGGGTGGTTGTGGAATCCAAAGTTGTTGGTGCATCAGTAGTTGTTGTGGTGTCATGCAGAGTTGTGGTTGATTCATCAGCTATTGTTGACGTTGGTGCAACAGTGTTTGTGGAATCCAAAGTTGTTGTTGCATCAGTAGTTGTAGTGGTGTCAGACAGAGTTGTGGTTGATGCATCAGTTGTTGTTGATGCTCGTGCTATAGTTGAGGATGTTGGGGTACTGGTTGTGGAAGCCAAAATTGTTGTTCCGTAAATAGCTTTTGTGGTGTCGAGCATAGTTGTGGTTGCTCCATCAGATGTTGACGCTGGAGAGGTGGCTGTAGAAGTCAAAGTTGTTGTTGATGCATCTATAGTTGTTGTGGTGTCAGGCATTGTTGTGGTTGCTGAATCAGTTGTTGACGTTGGTGCTATAGTTGGGGATTTTAGAGGGGTGGTTGAGGAAATCAAAATTGTTGCATCAGTAGTTGTTGTGGCGTCAGGTATAGTTGTGGTTGCTGCATCAGTTGTTGACATTAGAGGGGTGGTTGTGGAATCCAAAATTGTTGTTGCATCAGTAGTTGTTGTGGTGTCAGATAGAGTTGTGGTTGATGCATCAGTGGTTGACATTAGAGGGGTGGTTGTGGAATCCAAAGTTGTTGTTGCATCAGTAGTTGTTGTGATGTCAGGCAGAGTTGTGGTTGATTCATCAGCTATTGTTGACGTTGGTGCAACAGTGTTTGTGGAAGTCAAAATTGTAGCATCAGTACTTTTTGTGGGGTCAGACAGAGTTGTAGTTGGTGCATCAGTTGTTAAAATTTGTGCAATACTTGAGGATATTGAAACAGTTTTTGTGAAATCTAAAGTTGTAGTTGCATCAATAGTTGTTGTGCTGCCAGGTTTAGTTGTGGATGCTGCATCAGTTGTTGACGTTGGTGCTATAGTTGAGGATTTTGGAGGGGTGGTTGAGGAAGTCAAAATTGTTGCATCAGTAGTTGTCGTGGTGTCAGACAGAGTTCTGGTTGATGCATCAGTGGTTGACATTAGAGGGGTGGTTGTGGAATCCAAAGTTATTGGTGCATCAGTAGTTGTAGTGGTGTCAGACAGAGATGTGCTTAATGCATCAGTTGTTGTTGACACTGGTGATATATTTGAGGATGTTGGGGTGCTGATTGTGGAAGCCAAAATTGTTGTTATGTAAATAGCTTTTGTGGTGTCTGGCATAGTTGTGGTTGCTCCATCAGATGTTGACACTGGAGGGGTGGTTGTGGAAGTCAAATTTGTTGTTGTTGCATCAATATTTGTTGTGGTGTAAGTTATAGTTGTGGTTGCTGCATCAGTTGTTGACATTGGTACTATAGTTGAGGATTTTGGAGCGGTGGTTGTGGAAGCAAAAATTATTGCATCAGTAGTTGTTGTGGTGTCAGACAGAGTTCTGGTTGATGCATCAGTGGTTGACATTAGAGGGGTGGTTGTGGAATCCAAAGTTGTTGGTGCATCAGTAGTTGTTGTGGTGTCAGACAGATTTGTAGTTGCTGCATAAGATATTGTTGCCGCTGGTGCCACGGTTGAGGGTGTTGGAAAGGTGGTTGAGGTAGCCAAATATTTTGTTGCATCAGTAGTGGTTGTGGTGTCAGGCAGAGTTGTGGTTGATGAATCAGTTGTTGATGTTGGTGCTATAGTTGAGGATTTTGGAGAGGTCGTTGAGGAAGTCAAAATTGTTGCATCAGTAGTTGTTGTGGTGTCAGGTATAGTTGTGGTTGCTGCATCAGTTGTTGACATTGCTGCTATTGTTGAGTATGTTTGAGGGGTGGCTGTGGAATCCAAAGTTGTTGTTGCATCAGTAGTT